GCGGTTGTCGAGGGCGAAGAGAGCTTTGATCTGACGGATTGTGGGCCTCGTTACGACACCAAAAGTTTTCACCATTCCCGTGCCATTCAACGATCGCGATGAGAGCTTCGATCTAACGGTTGATGGGCCCCGTTACGACACCAAAAGTTTCGCCGTTCCCGTGGCAGTTGTACATCACGAAGAGTGCTTCGATCAAACCGCTAATGGGCCCCATTTCAACAACAAAAGTTGTCTTCATTCCTGTGACAGTTGTAGGGCGCGAAGAGAGCTTCGATCTAACACCCGATGGGCCCTGTTAGGACACCAAAAGTTTTCGCCAAAAACGTGGCAGCTGTAGATCGCGAAGAGATACAACCGCCACGGGAACGGCGACATCTTTTGGTGTCGTAACGGGGCCCATCATCCGTCATATCGAAGCTCTCTTCGTGCTCTACAACTGCCACAGGAACGGGGACAACCTTTGGTGTCGTAAAGGGGCAGGCCCTTCAGACGTTATATCGAAGCTCTCTTCGCGCCCTACCACCGCCACTGGAACGGCGACAACATTTGGTGTTGAAACAAGGCCCATCAGCCATTAGAGAGAAGCTCTTTTCACGCCCTACAATGGCCCCGGGATGGGCGACAAATTTTGGTGTCGTAACGGGCACCATCAGCCGTTAGATCGAAGCTCTCTTCGCGATCTACAACTGGCACAGGAACGGCGATAACTTTTTATGTCGTAACGGGTCCCATAATCCGTCAGATCAAAGCTCTCTTCCCCCTCTACAACCACCCCGAATTTAGCGACCACTTTTTGTGTCGTAACGGGGCCAGCCCATTAGAGGTTATATCGAAGCTCTCTTCGCGCTCTACCACCGCCACCAGAATGGCGACAACGTTTAGTGTCAAAATGGGGCCCATCAGCCATTAGACAGAAGCTCTCTTCGCGCTGTACAACCGCCCCGCGAAGGGCGATAAATGTTGGTGTCGTAACGGGGCCCATCAACCGTTAGATTAAAGAAGCTCTCTTCGCGATCTACGAATGGCACGGGAACGACGACAACTTTTGGTGTCGT